CGAGAAACGAACGAAGGAAGCTATGGTGTTTTCAGACTCTAAAGCTCAAACTTTAGTGATTATTATCACAATAGAAATATGCATTTCTGGATTCATTCTAAGTATGGGGCAATATGGGCAAAATGTATAAAAATTATTAAAATACCTTTTTTGTTATATTAGGGCTCTTATATATTACATTTGATGGACTACATGCTGCTGTTACAATGTTTATTAATCAAATCTTTCACCTAAAATGATGCAGCCCGTCTGATTTTACAAAATGCTTGATTAGACTGGCATTGACAATAGTTTCAATAATGCCTTTATAGAAGCATTCAAGCCTCATCTTGTAGTGGTAAGATTTTTGGCTAAACAGTTTTTTTTATAATAGAACATTCTTGCAAACGGGGTCATTTTGATAAACAAATCTTCTTCAGCCATGCTTCCCTATATTCTTATTTGGGTAGTCACCTCTTTCTGTAGCGATTTTATAGAGAAAGACTTTTGGCGCTCAAAATTCACCAATTTGGAGCTTTCAGTTATTCCTCAGGAGCTCTAAATTGGTGACATCCGAAGGAAAAAGTTTAAAATTTTGGATCTTAGAAGACTGTGATTAATTACCTGTTACAGGAGTGTGGTTGGCCGTTTGAGAAAAAATACTTGTTTCTTGGAGATTATGTAGACCGGGGAAGGTGGTTAATAGTTGCGTTATTTAGAAAGACAAAGCAAAGACAACTTCGACTTTTAGGAATTCTCTCGAAGTACTGGTACTCTTACTCGCTTTGCAGATTCGCTTTCCATGGCAGGTTTTCTTGCTTCGCGGCAATCATGAGATAAAGTCTGTGAACAAGTGAGACTTCTTTAACAGTTGAACTTCGAGCTAAACATGTGCAGGACTTCACATACCCGTTGCAGAGCTTATGGTTTTTATGGTGATTTGAGAGTAAGGTACCCGGAAGGCAACGACAGCGATCTGATTCTCGACGCTGTGGCAAAAGTGTACAGGTGGCTGTTTTACAACTTACGAAATGTGGCGAGAACTGAGAAAAATTTTCAGCCAGCTTCCCCTTGCTGCTCTGCTTTGTGGCAAAATTCTTTGCTTGCATGGTGGCCTCTCTCCTAAACTCCAGTCTATTGATGATATACGAAAAATAAAGCGGTAAGCGGTGAACATTTGAATTATTTGCTAGGATTAACAAAACAACATGCGGAGAAAAATGTTCTATTCAAACATTGCTTAGAGAAATTCTTGAGATGTGTTCCGCTACCGATGTTCACCTAACCGGTTGTAGGGGACTGCTAGAACCATCGGGTTTGGTCGAAGATCTCCTTTGGTCTGACCCCTCCCCAACGTGCACTGGCTTCAAAGCAAACACTGAGCGTGGATGTTCATTTGGTATATACTTGAAATAATTATGCGCAGAAATATTTTTGAAATCTTTTTTAGTATTTGGCTCAGATGTTGTCGCAGATCGCTGTCAGAAAATGGGTATTTTGATGATAGTTCGTGGACATCAGGTCTGCTTTTGTTAATGGTGGATTTACTCAAGAATGTGCATAAATGCATGGCGCCTCATGTTCAGGCTATTGATGAAGGTTTTGAAATATCACAAGATCGAAAAGTGATCACACTTTTTAGCGCCCCTGGATATCAAGACCATTATACAAACAAGGGAGCTGTGATGGTGGTGGGCTTTTCGCTTTCAATAGTTTTAAAGTTTGGTGTATTCGAATTTTCTTTGAGGTATCCGCGGATAGGACGGTTACATTCAAGCAGTTTACAAGGCAGAAAAAAATGGAAGGACGTCCGCGGTGGTCCTTGTTACCAATGTCGGAATAAACCTATATCTACCTTAACGTAAAAAA